AAAATGCTGCAGAAAAGATAACACATTGAGAAATATATCTGCCACACAGTAAACTGACGAGTCCACAGCATAGACTCTGCTTCACAGTCTATGTCAAAGGTGCCGTATTTTCCTTGCCTCATTCATTCAACTAACATTGATTTATACACCAGGCGCTAAATCATTACCTCCTAGCCAATCATCTATCAGGTTCCAGTTTAGAACTGACTTCCTTTTGAACAACTTTCCTCAATAGTCAAAGACTACTATTCACCTCCTAGCCCTCTGTCCTTACTCCACAAAGGATTTTCCTTCCTTCCTTGTTTGTTTGTTTGTTTGTAGAGGAAGATTAGCCCTGAGCTAACATCCACTGTCAATCCTCCTCCTTTTACTGAGGAAGACCGGCCCTGACCTAATGACCATGCCCATCCTCCTCTACTTTATGTGGGACACCCACCACTTCATGGCTTGCCAAGGGGTGCATAGGTTCAAACCTGGGATCTGAACGAGCGAACTCCAGGCCACCAAAGTGAAACATGAGAACTGAACAGCATGCTGTGCTACTGGGCAGGCCCCATTTCCTTCCTGGTTTTAAGTCCCTATCACACAACATGAGTAGGGTGTATCTTTTCTTAACTGAATCACAAAGACTGAATTAGTCAATGTGAATGGAGTCACCAGTGAGAAAGCAAGCTTCCAATGTGTTTAGTTGAAACAAGTGAAATCATTCCAAGTATCAACCTTTTTGATAACAGGCTCTTAAAACATTTTAATGCCATGAATCTTTTTCACAATATAGTGAAGCCAAGGAACCTGTTTTGCAGAATAATATTTTTTGAAAGACAAAATAAAATACTAGGATTTTAAAAATTGACATACTCTCTAAATTCTATCCATGGACCTCTCAGATCTTGCACCCAGGTTAAGAAGTCTTGTCTTAGATTCAAGAAGAAATGCAACAGACTCTAAAACTCATAAAATAGTTATAAAATGATCTTCCCTCCAAGAAATTAAAAGATTCAATGTGATTTTGAATTAAGAATACGACAGTAGAAGGGAGCCAGCCCAGTGGCACGGTAGTTAAGTTCACATGTTCTGCTTTGGCGGCCCAGGTTTCGCCAGTTTGGATCCCGGGTGCAGACCTATGCAAGCTTGTCAAACCATGCTGTGGTAGGTGTCCCACACATAAAGTAGAGGAAGATGGGCAGAGATGTTAGCTCAGGGCCAGTCTTCCTCAGCAAAAAAGAGGAGGATTATCAGCAGATGTTAGCTCAGGACTAATCTTCCTCAAAAAAAAAAATACGACAGTAGAAGAAATGTCAATTTATATGTATTATATGTATTAAAATGTTACATACACACCAAAGGAATGATCCATGAAATAAATAATTGGTAAGTTGGGCTTCATTAAAATTAAATATTTCTGATCTGAATTTAGAAACACATTCAAGAGAATGAGAAGACCAGCCACAAATGGGGAGAAAATATTTACAAAACACATATCTGATACAGGGCTGTTGTCCAAAATATACAAAGAACTCTTAAAACTCAACAATAAAAAAAATGAACAAACCAATTAAAAAATGTACAAAAGAAAAAAAAATGGAGAATAGATCTGAACAGACACCTAAGCAAAGAAGACATACAGATAGGAAATAAACTATGGTATGTCCATATGATGGACTATTATTCAGCGTTAAAAAGAAATGAGCAATCAAAGCATGAAAAGACATGGAGGAGCCTTAAATGCTGATTAATAAGTGAAAGAAGCCAATCTGAAATGGCCACATTCCCTAAGATTCCAACTATATGACACTCTGCAAAAACTGAGAGTATGAAAACAGTAAAAAGACCAGTGATTGTCAGGAGGTGAGAGAGGAAGGAATGAACAGGCAGAGCGAAAGGGATTTTTAGGACAGTAAAACTGCTCTGTATAGAACTATAATGGTAGATATATGTCATTATATATCTGTCAAAACCCACAGAATGGACAGCACCAAGAGTGAACTCTAATGTAAACCGGAACTCAGAGGTTAGCTAGGGAAACAAATATTTAAAGAAATGATTACTGCATCGAGTTATACAACTAGTGCTCTAGGAACACAAAAAAGTAGGTATAAATATAAATATAAAAACATAAATTTGGGAGTTTAAAAAGAAATCAAATGGCCAATGTAAATGAAAATTATGAAACCAGAGACGACGACGGTTCTCTAGAACTAACTGCTAGACAGTGGCAGAAAAAAACGCACCATTCTTCAAGTTATACAATATGTTCTTACGACAATGGAAAGCCACAGACAGGAAAAGACACAGCTTCCAAGGTCTGAAGCACTCTAGAACTAGGGCAATATGAAATATACATTCATACAAAGGAAATCTGACATAACAGACGGACTATCAAAGTGAGTCATACTGGTTACCCCAAGTGAAGTGCTGCAACTGACATAACTGCCAGACTGTTTCCTCAAATTTAACTTAATTCCCACAACATGAAAGCATTTCAATAAATCTTCGTCTTCATTAATTAAATCAATCCTACTGATCAACAGCTGCTACACAAACCTTCCTCTCTATCAAAAAATGACTAATTAAGATATTAGAAGGAAGATTATTCAAAGTATACTCTATATTATCCTCTTACCATCATTCTTTATTTGAAAAGATGGAAAAAAGATGGGTCTTTCCATCAGTTTTAACTAATAGGATCATTTCTGAAGAATAAGATAAAAATGGCCGTCTCTTCAGACCCATCAACCAAAGGGATTAGATCTGAAAAGACTGTAAGTTTATGAAGACTATTTCAACTCTAAAAGCAAAAGAGCAATTTTATCTTTTATTTAGAAACAAAGTATTTTTAAAAGAACTCCATTGGAGTGGAAGTCGACTACTGGAAGTATTAAATCAATTCCTAATTACGAAAATTGGTAATTAGAGAGAGAGAATTAAGCATTTATCCTGCCTTCTATATATAGAAGAACGGTGGCTCAGTCCTGGCTGATGAGAGAAAACTGTTTTTATAGAAAAAAAGCAGTTAATCAATGCAGACAACATAGAATTAGAAAAACCATCATTATGTAACCATCAGCATAACAAAACTATTAAGTGAAAATGTGTTTCAGGGGCCGGCCCTGTGGCCAAGTGGTTAAGTTCCCATGCTCCACTTCGCAGGCCCAGGGTTTCTGCAGTTCGGATCCTGGGTGTAGACATGGTACCGCTCATCAGGCCATGCTGAGGCAGCATCCCACATGCCACAACTAGAAGGACCCACAACTAAAATATACAACTATGTACTGGGGGGATTTGGTGAGAAAAAGAAAAAAAAAAAAAGTTTCAGAAATGAGGCCAAAATAACACTCTTCAGATTACTTGCAAATCTCCACAAGAAAAATCTAGTTCCAATATGTAGGCATTTGATGGATCACTAATTTATCCAGGTGATCAAACACAGTATCATAAATTGTAAGACCACCTGATACGATATGTCTCCTGCTGGGATGAAATGATGTAGACAGTAATACCTATGAAGTCAAAAAAAAGAATCCAAGCCAGGCCCTGTGACCCAGTGGTTAAGTTCTTGCATTGTACTTCAGTGGCCCAGGCTTTCACCAGTTCGGACCCTGGGTGCGGACCTGGCACCACTCATCAGGCCATGCTGAGGCGGCATCCCACACGCCACAACTAGAAGGACCTACAACTAGAATATACAGCTATGTACTGGGGGCTTTGGGGAAGAAGAAGAGAAAGGGAAAAAAAAAAGAACAAAAAGGGAAGATTTGCAACAGACGATAGCTCAGGAGTCTATCTTTAAAAAAGAAAAAAATCCTTATGTGAATGTATTCAAAACTGCTTTAGGGAATAAAGAAAAACATTATCATGATGAAAAATACGATAACTGCAAAATTTGGATAAGATATGATAAATGCAAAATTTGGATAAGATACCTGGTCTGGACACTGCAAAAAAGAAAAGTTGGAAGTAATAAACTGGATTAAAAGGAACTAAAGAGACATAGCAAAATGTAACAAGGAAATTTTAATTACATCTTGCTTTGGAGCAGTCAGAACACATTTTTGAGACGATTGGGAAATTTTAAATTATGGCTTGGATGTTAGATAATATAATGTGTTCATTTTATGAACCACAATGTACTATTTGGTTATGTAGGTAAAGGTCCTTATTCTTAGGAAATGCATGGTTAATCTGTAGTGGGTGAAATGTCATCACATATGGAACTCACATTCAAATGTTTCAATCTTTTGATTTTCTTTGTCTTCTTCTCCCTGAAGCCCCTAGCACATAGTTGTATATTCTAGCTGTAGGTCCTTCTGGCTGTGCTACGTGGGATGTCACCTCAGCATGGCTTGATGAGCAGTGCCATGTCCACGCCCAGGATCCAAACCAGTGAAACCCTGGGCCACCAAAGCAGAGTACGCAAACTTAACCACTCAGACACGGGGCTGGCCTCCTATCTTTTAAATCTATTTTTATGTTTGAAACTTTTCATAATAAAAAGTTTAGAGAAAAAATGAAAAGTAATAGGGCATTCCACATTGTTATAACATCTCTCTTTGTTAAATGTCTTAAAAACAACCAGAAAAACAAAAACCGCCACAAAAAAAGGAGAAAAATACAAGTAAACTAATTTATGAAATGTTACAAAGTTAAAAAGAAATGAAGTTACAAACAAAATGGCATTCCCTTACATTAATATGCAGTTTAGAATACTGAAATTCTTGGCTCAATTACAATACAGAAATTAATGCAACTCAACAGCACTGTTTACCTACTGCTGCTATTCAATCACCACTTTTTTGAGAGTAAAACTAATATTTAGAGGGTTTCTGGATTTGTATTATAAATTCATTCATTCAACAACCACTTACTGAAGACTACTTTTGTGATATACACTAACACATATTAAAAGGGTCAGATTCCATATTTCTTATTATCCATTTCCAAAAAGATCAGTTGGAAAACCCATTATATAAACGGCAAAAAGAAAAACAAAAAGGACGTACCACTTGTATTAAAAGCCATACAACACACTGGTTTTTCATGAGCAGGGAAGTGGGCCACGATACCATCACTGTCAGAATCCTCGCTCAGAAGCACCTTTACAAAAAGAAAGAGGGCAAACAGAAGTTAATCTTGACTCACCAATTACTGAGCGTGAAGATACACACAGCTACACCACAATATTCCTGATAAATAACATGCTTCCACTCTATTGGAAGATAACTCTCGTCAGTACAAGGTGAGAATGCCACGTTAGGAATGAGGAAACGACATATACATGCCCCCAGCAGATCATTCATACAAACTCTAAAAAGAGTTGGTTGACTTGACTGTAGATGACAGAGATGATAATTTCTTGAAGCATAGATTCAGGAGGGAAAAATAACATAAAATCAGCTTTGTAGAACTTTATCCAAGGACAAGAACATACAGTTCTTATTGTGTTATGGCCTGCTGGAAAATTCTTGCCCATGATTGGAATAGAACAGGAGAAAACAACATAAGTTAAATACAAATAAACAGCCATATATTAGAGGAATTACTCATAAAATTTTTATTTACAGTACAAAAGTTGTGGTCTTTAACTTCTAGTTTTTAGATGGACACATCACTTATTTGAAAATATTACCAAGTCATAAAAGCAGAAATACATTAGAACAGATAGTTTTGTATCTCTAACTTATTCCCCTTCATTTTCTTATAAGCATATTGAAATACAGTTTACATTCCATACAATTTTCGCACTGTGAGTGTACTGTTCAATGATTCTTCGGGGAAAAAAAGTTTTAAATTAACACGTATTTATTTTACAAAGCAAGTAATTAACTCAAGAAACCAAAAAGTTTTACACACATAATGTTCCAAACCTACTATATCAATATTGGATCATGATATTCAGAGATAACGAATTTAATCTGAAGTAACCCAGGAAGTAGTTCTACATGGGCAATGTGAATCTTTCTTTTAGTGTGAAAAGCTTTACAGAGGTATAATTTACATACCATAAAAGTCACCTATTTTATGTTTACAATTCAATGATTTTATATAGTACTACAATCATTACAACAATTCATTATACAGAAACGTCTGATTTGTCATCCTTTCCTATCTTAATGCTTTAATTTTCTTGCCTTATTGCTCTGGCAAGAACTGTAATTCAGTCAAGTTATAGATTTAGCGATTTTCTTCTGTGTAGATCTATTTTTTATTACCATCTCAACCATATTTACTTGCTCAGTTCAGTAACGTTAAGTATATTCACATTGATGTGTAACAGATTTCTAGAACTTTTTCATCTTCAACATTGAAACTCTACACCCACTAAACATTCATTCTTCCTCTCCCTTACCCCCAGCCCCTTCTACTGTTTCTATGATTTTGACTACTTAGATAGTGAAAATAAGTGGAAGAATACAGTATTTGTCATTTTCTGACTGACTTATTTCCCTCAGCACAATGTCTTCAAGGTTCATCCATGTTGTAACATGTGACAAGATTTCCTCATTTTTTAAGTCTATATAATATTATTACATTGTATGTATATAACACATTTTTCTTTATCCATTCATCTAGTGATGGACATTTGGATTGCTTCCCCTCCAGGCTGTTGTCAATAATGCTGCAATGAACATGGATATGTAAATATCTCTTCAAGATTCTGCTTTGAAATCTTTTGCATATAAACCTAGAAGTGGAATTGTTAGATCATATGGCAATCCTATTTTTAATTTTTTGAGCAACTTTCATACTGGTTTCCATAATGGCTGCATCATTTTACATTCCCACTAAACAGACCACAAGGGTTCCCACTTCTCTACATCATCAACAACACTTATTATTTTTTGTTCTTTTGATAGTGGTCATCCTGATAGGTGGGAGGTGGTATCTCATTGTGGTTTTGATTTGCAATTCCCTAATGATCAGCAATACTAGGCATCTTTTTATATGCTTATTGGCCATCTCTATAACTTCTTTGGAGAAATGTCTATTCAAGTCCTACGCCCATTTGTTAATTGGGTTATTTCGTTGTTGTTGAGTTGTAGAAGTTCCTTATATATAGTATATATTAACTCATTATCAGATATATTATTTACAATTATTTTCTCCCACTCTATCGGTTGCCTTTTTACTCTGCTGATGGTTTCCTTCAATGTGCAGAAGTTTTTAAGTTTGATGCAGCTCTACTACTCTATTTTTTATTTTGTTCCCTGTTCTTTTGGCATTATATCCAAGAAATCATTGCCCAATCCAATGTCCTGAAGTTTTTCTTCTAGGAGTTTAATAGTTTTAGGTCTTATGGTTAGGTCTATAATACATTTGAGTTAATTTTTATATATGGAGAAAGGTAGGGGTCAGTTTCATCCTTCAGCATGTGGCTGTCCAGTTTTCCCAAAATGCTATTTGTTGAAGAGACTGTCCTTACCCCATTGCATAGTTTTGGCACACTTGTCGAAAATCTTTCAGACTTATATGCATGGGTTTATTCCTGTACTCTCTATTCTGTTCCATTGATCTACATATTTATGCCCATCATCTTAAGTACCATTGCTTTGTAGTATGTTTTCAAATCAGGAAGTGTAAGGGTTCCAACCATGTGCTTTTTCAAGATTGTTTTGGCTTTTCAGGGTTCCTTCAGATTCCATAGGAATTTTAGGATGGTTTTTCTGTTTTCTATTTCTGCAAAAAATGCCATTGGGATTTTGATAGGGATTGCATTTAATACATACATCACTTTGAGTGATATGGCTATTTTAACAACATTAAGTCTTAAAATACGGCATGAGAGGGACCTGTCCAGTGGCGCGGTGGTTAAGTTGGCAAGTTCCACCTCAGTGATCCAGGGTTTGCGGGCTCAGATACTGGGTGTGGACCTACATACTGCTTATCAAGCCATGCTGTGGCAGGCGTCCCATATATAACACAGAGTAAGATGGGCATGGATGTTAGCTCAGGACCAATCTTCCTCAGTAGGAAAAAAAAAAAAAAAGAGGAAGATTGGCAGCAAATGTTAGTTCAGAGCTAATCTTCCCCCTCAAAGAAAAAAACCCAGCATGAGACATCTTTCCCTTTATCTGTACCTTCTTTGACTTCCTTTAGCAATGTTTTATAGTTTTCAGTGTATAAGTCTTTCACCTCCTTGGCTAAATTTACTCCTAAAAGTTCATTTTATTAAAAGACAACAAAATTGACAAATCCTTAATTAGACTAACAAAAAAAGAGAGAACTCAAATAGCTAAAATTAGAAATGAAAGAGGAGATATCATAATCAATATCACAAAAATAAAAAGAATTATAAGATACTTTTATGAACAATTACACACCAAAAAATTTGAAAACCCAGAAGAAACGGATGAGTTCCAAGAAACATATAACCTACCAAGACTGAATCATTCAGAAATAAAAAATCTGAACAGCCCTATAACTAATGAGGATATTAAAGCAGTAATCAAAAACTTTGCAACTAAGAAAACCCAAGGACCAGATGGCTTTTCTGGAGAATTTTACCAAATATTTAAGGAATTAACACCAACCCTCAAAATTCTCCAAATAACCAAAGAAAAGGGAACCTTTCCAAATTCATTTTATGAGGCCTTCATTGCCCTGATACCAAAACCAGAAAAAGACAAAAATAAAACTATAGATCATTATTCCTGATAAATATTGATACAAAAATCCAAAACAGAATAGGAGGAAACCAAATTCAACAGCACCTTAAAAGGTCATATACCATGAACAAGTGAGATTTATACTTGGAACGTAAGGATGGTTCAACATACAAAGATCAATTAACGTAGTACACACATTAACAAACTGAAGGACAAAAACCACATGATAAATCAACGCAGAAAAAGCATTTGACAAAACTCAACCACTAAGTCATATACACAAAGTCCAAAGCTAACATAAAATGCAATGGGGAAAGACTGAAAGCTTGTCTCTAGGATCAGTAAGAAGGCAAGGATGCCCACTCTCAGCACTACTATCAACATAGCACTAGAAGGTCTAGGCAAAGCATCTACACACACACAAAAGAATAAAAGGCATAGAAATTGGAAAAGAACCAAAATTCCCTACATTCACAGATAACATGATCTTATAGAAGACCCTAAAGATTCCACACACACAAAAACTGTTAGAACTAATAAATGAATTCATCAAAGTTGCAGGGTACAAAGTCAACACTCAAAAATCAGTTTTGTTTCTATACACTAACAATGACCAATCCAAAAAGGAAATTAAGAAAACAATCCTATTTGCTATACCATCAGATTTATCAATTTTGTTAATCTTTTCAAAAAACCAATCTGTTGTACACAGAATTCAAAATATGATGTACATTCGGAAAAAAACCAACTTAGGATTTTTCCCAATATTTCACTGTTTGCAATTTTGTCGAATTCCGTTCATATTTTTCTTATTTACTTTATTTGTCTTGTTTTGGTTATAATTTGCTCTTCTTTTTCTAATCTCTTAGGGGCAAAGCTATTACTAATTTGAGACCACTTTTCTTCCCTACTATAAGCATTTAAAGCTATAAATTTCCCTCAATGCAATACTATAACTGTACTTCACAAATTATATGTTCTATTTTTATTTTCATTCCATTCAAAATATTTTCTAATTTTCTGAGATTCTTTCTCTGACCCATGAGTTATTTACAAATGTGTTGTTTTATTTCCAAATATTTGGAGATTTCCATAATTTCATTCTGTTATTGATTTCCATTGCTAACATTGCATGATTTTAATCATTTTAAAGTTATTTAGATTTGTTTTATGGCCAATCTATATGGTCTATCTTGGAGAACATTACAGATGTTCTTGAAAAGAATGAATTCTGCAGGTTTTGGGGGGAGTGCTAGGTCAAGCTGGTTGATAGTGTTAATCAGCTCTGTATCCTTACAAATTCTCTGTCTAGTTTTTCTATCAATCACTGAGAGCACAGTATTTAAATATCAAGCTGCAAATGTTAGCTATAATTTCTCCTTTCAATCTGTCAGATTTTGCTTAATGTTTCTTGGGCTATATTGTTATGTGTTTATACATTAAGAATTGTTTTATCTACACCTATTACATTGACCTTACCATTATGAAATG